ATTATTTATTATCATTTATTGTTTTTACTTGTAGTTCATTATTGGATACAATTTTATATGTTTTACTTATGGTTTTGAATAATTCAATTATAAAAATAATGTGTCGCATAATACGATTCACGATAACATTTGATATGATTTATGTTTTGTTATATATATGTTTTTGGTATAAATGTTATTTATATAATATTATATGTACCGGCATTTGAGAATAATTTGATAACAATCTAATTGATTAATAATTAGTGTTTTTTGGGTAAAACAATCATGAATTATTCAAAACCATAAGTAAAACATATAAAATTGTATCCAATAATGAACTACAAGTAAAAACAATAAATGATAATAAATAATTGATATCATTATTACATTTAGCTTATGATTTGTAAACAGAACTATAAGCTGAGCCATAGCTCCCATAGGGAGTGAAACTATACGGTCTGTTATATCCATAAGGATTCATATTATATCCCGAATTGAATCCGTAAGGACTACTCCCATAACTCGATGATCCAAAGTATCCATAATTATTTTGTGGGTAAGCATAGGATGCCGACCCACCAAACCCAGGATTGCCTGATATTATTGATTACAGAATTAAACGATTAAAACCCAAAATATGATAAAAATAATTACCGAATGCATATAAGGGCCTAGTCAATGATGACAAACCTCCTCCATATCCGTATCCATAATTGCTGTAAGGATTATAGCCGCCACCTCCATAGGGATTATAGGGGTTATAACCACCGCTTCCATAGGGATTACCACTCCCTTTGAAAAAACTTGAAGAAACACTCGATATATAAAGAATAGACACAAACAAAGGGATTGCCTTTAAATGAAGAAAATAATTTTAAAACCAATTTTAAAGCAACAAAAATCTATTTCATACCAAATTCATTGCATACACTTTCACTGCAGAATAACTTTCACTTTAGAGCACTATTTTTGTGATACATTTGTCGTTTTGAAAGCCTTTATAACAAACTTTTTTACAATAATGTGAGTAAATAATACGAATTTAGGCCGTCATTAGCCAACAAATAGACATATTTTTAAATATAATAGAAATTGATTTTTTAATTTTAAACATTATTCCCGTATTTATAATAAAAAACGCTTTTAATGTAGTGATGACAAATAACATGTTAAATATCCTTAATAAATAAATAGCGTAACTTTTATTTTTTAAATATTTAATTTTTGATTCATACTCTAATTAGATCTATTTTGGTCTATAAAGACATTTGTTTTTGATAAAAACTTGTTTTATTGTTTTAAACAAATAAATATTTTTATTATAATAAGGCGTTAATCATATGAAAATACATAATAAGCAACTCTTAATGGATTCAAAGTTTTCTGTTAAAAGTATTATGTTTAGTAAGAATTTTGTTATAAATAACAAGTTTAGGTAAATATTTATTTTTAAATAACTAAGGCAAATATGATCTCAAATCATTTAAATCAAGTAAAATATACTTTTATACAATACTTTACTTTTACTATTAATACTAATTAAAATATTTAACATTTTAGTCCTTACTATAAGTGAATTTAGAAAAATAAACAAAGATCCCGGAAAATATTTATAATGGTTTATATCAATATCAATATTAGATATTTTATTTTTGTTGAAATTGTTATATTTGATTAAATGTTGAATTAGTAAATTTAAGATTTTTTATTTTGATCAAATAAATACAACAAAATATTTGATATCAAATGAAATGAATTTATTAAAGAATGTACGCGTACAGTTTTTTAGTAGAAATTATACATCAATTTAATTGAAAACTTTATAAAAATGAGTCAATCTTTAACAGTCCGTCAAATCAGTTATTTCTTGTAAAAAGTAGAGTAACCATAACCTCCTGTCAAACAATTTTAATCAATTTATTAATCAATTAGATATCAAATACTTGAAACTTGAATAATTGTTTCGATTAAAGCAAATTAAGTGATAAATAATAAGTAATAACTTTTTGACACTAAGTCTTATAAACTTTAAAATGCGAAAACAACTAAATTTCTGAACTCATACCGGGATATCCATAAGAAGCAACATTTCCATAATAACCACCATGCGTATAGGCTATTCAATAAATGATTAACAAGATTAAAATAATTTTAAATACCGCATAAATAGACATCAAGGTATCAAACCTGGCACTGAAGCATAACCGGCCGAATAGTAGGGAGAAGCACCATAGCCCACATAAGGACTTCCGTAATAATACTGGGCGCTAACCATGGCGATGGTGGCCAGAACAAGCACTAAGACCTGGATGATGTTAAAATACATAGTTGTTTAGTCTAATAGTTACCAATTTAACAATATAAACTTAAAAACTTAAAATACTAACCAAGACTTTCATTATTAGAGAGGGTTTGGTTTTGTTTTGCGAACAAAAATAACAATTTAAGATTTCAAAAATTGAGATTGTGATTTAAAAATTGGTGATCATCACTTTATATATTTTTGTGATGACCTTCAAACACAAAGAACTCATCCCAATATTTTTTTTTAAATAAGGAGTTATTTACCAAATGTTATGTAACCGTCAGTACTATAAATGTGTGCCCGGATTCCCTGCTAATAATAAGCCGTTTAATTCTTACATAACAATTCTGAGCCCAAGAATCCATGGCTTTAACACGTGAGACGTCCCAAACTTATGTCAGAATAAAATATTCGCCTTATTTTTGTTGATTACATTTCGCAAAATCAGTAGAAAGTGAGTAGAGGTAAAGGTTTTAAGCATTAATTTAAGGCTAATTTTCCGTTCCTCTGACATCCACGCCCTTCCAAAAGCACTAAATTATTAGTGTTTTGCTAATAAGTTTGAATTGAAAAGTTATAATTCTCCAGGGCATTAAAAGGGTTGCTTTCAAATGTGTAAGATTTTGATTATATAAATATAACGATCCCTTGTGTTCTACCCCTTTGTGTCAAACGTTATGTGTCTAGAAATACTGCTAAACAAAGACCTTGATGTCGAAGATTAATTAATTGATTTATTCTTACATATGATTTACTACAGTGTTATACACAATAGAAAAAACATGCACAAATTACACGTAAACTATAGGTTCCGTGAAATGAATTAAAAATTAGATTGAAAATTATATACATTCTATACAACTATAAAGATTATATTCATTTCATGCAAAAAATCTAAGAGACTCTAAGTTTGTTCGTTATTTAATAAGTACTGTACTATACATGTATATTTAATAGTACTAGTATTATTCAAATACTAAATATTACCTGCATACAAATATTTTTAGAAGTTACCAAAAAATCATACATTGAGTTTGATAAAATAAAATAATTATACACATTCTATGATTCAAAATGATGTTAATTACTAAACAGAATAAGGAACATTTAATCTTGTATACAAATTACTTGATTTAATTACATTAAATAATTTATTAGTAAAATATCATAAGATTAATAAAAATATTAGTAAAGTTATTAAAATTATGTTTTACAAAAAATTACAGCAAATATTTTATACAGTGTATTTCTGTCTATTAATTAAAACTAGTCTAGTTCATTTTAACTGTCGAGATCAATATCGACATCAAGAACAGGCATCTCATACCCATAGTCTCCAAGAGTGACAGATAAGTCGTGAGGCTTTTGGTATTCAAAGTTGTCGTCTTGTGGCCAATAATCATGGAATCGAGACCTCATATAATCGGATGAACAGCACATCACTAATGAGATGAAAGCAAATGTCAAAAAGATTTTCATTTTTACGAAAACTTTCTCTAAAAATAAATTCAAATGAATTCAAACGAGTTGTCAACTCTTTTATATGTTTGGTTTCATTTGATTAGGTCTTCTCATTATAATTATTTCATTTATTTCTAATTAATATGCTTTTCCTTTAGGTTAATATTAATGCAATTATATTTCGTGATGTTTAATGAAAATATATTTTATTAAAAATATTTATTTAAATTTATGAATATCTTTCATATACTTGGATTATCTTAAAATTTAATATACATGTATTGCCATTTAGTTATTTATTTAAATCTACATGTAAAATATGAAAAGCAACCCCACAAAATGTAATTTAATAAAACTAAAATTTAATACATATTTAAATTAAATTTCATCAGCACATTTAATTAATTAAAATTATATTCAATGAACCGAAAATATTTGTAAGTGCTTTTCAAAAACAGTTTACCGGTATATTCAGGTCAAGTGATAAACAAAGAATACAGTTTTCAATTCAAAGTGACTTTATCTCTATTTTACAAAACAGTATTTTTATCCTTTACTTTTTACTTTTTATTTTGTAAACATATTACTAAATTTATAGACATTTACATATTAGCTTCTTAAACTTATTTACAATAATATTCTAATTTAAATAAATATATATTAATATTTTACGATAAAAATACAATAAATAATTTATATGTATTTCTAAAATATATCTACTGTGTAAATAAATATAGCATTTAGGTATTGAGATGTTATAATATTAAATATTTTCCTTAAATATTATAATTATGTCATTATTGTCGAAATTCTTGGCATATATTTGTGTGATTACATTGTTTGTATTAAAGCCACAAAAACATGTCATTTATAACATAAAGATCTCAATAAAAGTTAATTATAAAATACTTGTACTCTCGTATATGCAATCAAATGTAACTGAACAAAAATGATAAATTTCAAGTTTAATTGAGAAATAGTCTAATTGTCTTCAAGTAGTGAACATAACTTGAAATGAAATGAATAAACAATATATTGTTTGCTTCCATATAGTGTTCACTCGCTTTCATTATCTCTTCATAACAATAGTAATTATAGTCTAATTCAGACCATAAGTCCATTAATTCATTCGTCTCTATCATCAGATTATTGACTATTAATTAGCACTAAAACACACTTTAAATTCATATAAAAGCTCATGAATTGGTCAAAACACTTTCACTCTTGACTATCACTAAAATGTCTCATTTGGTAAGAATATAATGAAAAGTTTTGTACACTTTATAAATTGTTTTATTGGAAACATTTATAGAATTTGTAAAAATTATTTAATATGTTCAATTAAATTAAATATGTCTGATTAAATGTATTTTCAGAGAAAATTAATTTTTGTGGCAATTATTCTGTCGGTGTTTGAAGTGATAAGTTGTGGCCATTTATATGGACACGGGCTGGATCACCACTACGGCCACCACGGATTAGCTCATTATGGGGGCCATCACTATGACTACGGACATCACCACGGGTATGGACACCATTATGGTCATCATGGTCATGGACACCATTATGGCCATGGTCATGACTATGGACACGGACACGGTCACCATCATGGTCATCACGATGACCACCATGGACATTATGGGCACCATGCACCATTCCATTACGGCACTCATATTCATCATCCATATCATCACGGATATCATCATGGTTATCATCATTAAATAATTTAGTAATTGTTTTAGTAGTAAATTATAGTTATATTCATAAACCTTAATACAAAACACAAAAGCATTGAAACTTTTTTATTTTTTAAGCCAAATATATTGACTTATATGAAATCAATGACAAAATAATTATTAGAGACAATTTTGAAATTAAAATCTAACTTGTATATTTTTGCATTAATGACCCAATGATCCATTAAAATACATTTGTGTCATGAATTTAATCGAAAGCTTACTCCAAAAACAATTAAAATAGCTTAAGAGAAAATCAATGATTACTTGTTGGTTTGAAAAATAAAATCAATTCATGTCTAGGTGTCATAATTAACTCAATACTGTATACTGATTTAATAGCTTTACGGTATATCCCATTAGAAGTAGAAATTAGTAGTTTAATCAAATTATATGTTAATCAAATAAACGTTACTTTATTATATGCTCATTAAATTCTTTAATAAAACTAAAATCAAAATATTTTAAAGTATAAGTTTTCAATTAAATATTTCTATATTTCATATCAATTTATTTAACAATTTATATAAAACTTATTTTAAAATGTGCTATATAAATAAGCTTTTTAATTAATTCTGTAAATATTTAGTTTATTTATTTCACAATAATACAAAATTTATATCTATTTATTGTATTAAATATTCAAATATTTAAATAATTTTATTTTTTGTTAACGAAAACATATCATTATTTCCTGAATATATGCCTTAACTGGAAAATCCTATAATTTCTATCATTTTGGAAATGATTTTGTGGCTATAGTTTAAAAGTTGTGTTAATTTTTGCTTTAAAGGTTCAAAAGTTTGGGTGTATTTGTGTTCATTTAATAACATGTTTTTGTGATATGTTTTACATTTATTTGTTTTTCATATCACATTTCACGACTTATTCAGTTAATAATCTTATTTAAATAAAAAATATTTAAAACAATTTAAGGAAATTAAAAACAATTATAATTATTAAAATATTAAAGCTCCCATATTTATATCTCTCCAGGTATATAAAGTTTATAATACCTAAACTCATAAATTTTAACCTTTAAACTCTTGCTTTCATTAAACACTTTGTTTTAGTTTTTATTGTAAACTAATTTTGTTTGATTTATAGTAAGTAAATGTTAAAATCTATTACATTTTAATAAATTATATGCACAATATATTTAACACAAATTTTGATGTTTTCCGGATTTGATATACAGAACTTGTAGCTTGATATTCTATATTTTTAATTAAATTAATCCAATTAATAAATTATTGTTTTTAATGTAAAATATATTGTAAATTAATCTTTAAAAGTTTATATACCTGTATAAACAAAAATTCTGTTAAATTGACTTTCAATAATTTTTAAAAATATTAAATCAATAACATGTTTATTATTAAAGAGATTTTTAAATAAATTATAAAATAGAAAGGAAATAATATTATTTATAAATAATTAATAATTAAATTAATAATATTATTTATTTGTTCTAAAATATAATGTAAAATTTATACATATAAAAATATTCTGTAATTGCTATTTATGGAAATTAAAGCATATAAACAAAATGATCTTGATATAAGTTATATGGTACCATAAATAAATTAAAAACAATCATTATTAAAATTGGATTAAAAACAAAAGAGTTATTATAAATACAATGACATTTCGAGGATATACTTATTTGTTAAAATAGTCGTAAAATAATAAACAATAATAAAGTTAATGAAAAACAATTTTTAATTGTTAATACACTGTATATTAATTCACAGTAGTGTATTTATTATTTTATTTATAAATTATTTATATTTAAATTTTCAATGAAATAGTAATCAATATTTA